TATTTCTCTCCCTCTCTTTCTCCCTCCCTTCCCCTCTCTTAAAAGATAAATAAAATCTTTTTAAAAATAGCTCAAAACAAACCACTTCTGAGGAAGAGATAAAGTTTAATACGTCTACAGTGGGGGTGTCAAACTCATTTCCACCAGGGGCCACATCAGCCTTGCAGTTGCCTACAAAGGGCCGAATGTAATTTTAGGACTGTATAAATGTAACTACTCCTTAACTAGGGGCAAGGAGCTCTACATTCAGCACTTTGAAGGCAACCGAAAGGCTGATGTGGCCCCTGGTGGAAATGAGTTTGACACCCTGATCTACAGACTAATTTTTTCATGTCTGCATGTGAAACCACTGCTGTAATATATTGATAAGCAACTCAATAAAACCAAAGCATCCTCTAGGCTCCTTATTTGTTCAAAGGCAACACATTTCCCACTAACAATTATTAATTTTTTAAAACCAAAGTTAGTTTTGAAACAGATTTATTTATTTAGTATTCTACTTTTGGGTAGACCAATTATTCATTCAACACAACGGAGGGGACACTGTTCTAGATGCTGGGGATACAGCACTGGGGAACAAAACAGTGTCCCTGTCCTTATAATGAAACTTACATTCTAGTGGCTGGTTGAGAAAATTTTGTGCAGGTTTACTTCTTATCATTTATTCTGCTTCTCCATACTTTCATGGCTCTTTTACATATGTACTATCAAAGAGGCTTCAGCAGTTTTAAAGTTCAGGTTTGTATGCACCCAAGTAACTGATTTTAGACCAGGCCTTAAAAGAAAGAGTTAGAGAAGCAATAAAGGAGTTTCAATTAGTAAAAATTGCACTTCGGATAAAACCTAGAACCTATTGGGGCACCATAAAATCAACTCAATCAGAATTTTTGACAATAACATCTCATCCAATCACTTCAAAAAGGCAAATAAAATTTTTACTTTCTCCCTGTCCCTAAGTATTTCTCAGTATGAGTTCTTTAATTGAAATTATATTCCTAAGCAGAATCTCTTTATTAAAACAAAATTTCATGGAAATTTTCTACATTTAAAATGTGCAAAATTCTAGTTGAAATAAAAAAAGTGGCCTATATCCACATCCTTAATATATGCAATGCCTCCAAGATATTTCAGAAACACTTAAAAGTCACTACACTAGGTAACTGTGTTATCTAAAAAAATAAATAACAAAAAACATTTTTAAAAGTATTTAGATTTAAGTTACTCTGAGATTCCTATGTAGCATAATATACTATGACTCTTTAACTATGAGACATGTGGCCAGCACAATTTCTCTAAGCCTTAAATTTTCCCATCCATGAAATGATGACCTTACAGGTCAGCAAGAAGACACGCTGACCTGTCGACACTCGAATTATACTCCGATGGTGGCTACGATAAAATCAGCAGGGCCATTTCTGAACTTAGGACAGGCACTTTATAAGAGCATACGTTTCCATCTCTGCAGATCTTAATTTCAAGATTTTGTTACTCTGTTTTAAAGCCTTCTATAAATTATTACTATTATATATCTTTCCCCCAGATCACTAGGAACCAGATGGAAAGAGTTTTAAGCTTTATTAAGATTTTTAAGATTATTATATTTATCTTTCCTCAGGGAAGACATGTGCCAGAAATAATGTGTTAGAGGAGAGAAGGAGGACAACTCTGCAAGAGTTGTTTTTGTTTTGCCTAAATCTGAAAGGGGATGAATAGAACAGGAAGAAACCAAGTGTGACAAGGGGAAGAAAGTGTAACTAAAGAGAATATTCTAGATGAACAGGGAAACAACTCAAGCCTTTGACAAACAGTAACTTACTAAGTTACAAAAAATTCTCATGCTTCTTATAAAAATCATAATCCAAAGATACATATTTACATACACTTATTTTGATCTTTTGCTCTACATTTTTCCTCCTCTGAATAATTTATTAGCTAAAGAATTAGTTATAACAGAGTACCAGTTTAATAAAAGGTAAAATGTTATAAGGGCATTTTCATCAAACTGAATTCCAAAAATATTCCATACTAAATGTCAGTGAGTACATTTTTAGAAATCACACTCTCCATCTCCAAGTGCTTGATATAAAGTTCAACCACTTATAATGAATAAAGCCAGAGAATACATTTCTATGTATTCTGCTAAATAATACAGAATATTGGTGAATCATATTCTGCTGGAAATGACAGATTTAAGGAACAAAATCATGAAAACTAAAGGGCAACCTTTAGTTATTCAATAAAGAAAACACATTATAAAATCAACAGTTACATTCAGTTCTTTTCATCCTTTACTATGTAAAAGAAAAAAAATAGACATCTTCAAGATAAACAGATACTACTAACTGTGCCAAAAAAAGCATTTGCTCTACAGAGACTGGATGTTAAAGAAGGTATAGCTCTGTAATTACAAGCCATTTGCACATAAGATAAATAGCCCCCTTCAGTAATAAGGGTCATAAGAAAGTCAGGCTGTGGATGGTTTTAAGTTCTCAAGGACACTACTCTATGACAACCCTGGAATTTCACCAAGTCCTATACAGCAAGTCATAAAATGTTTAAATTCTGAAAGAGCTTCACAACTTCTAAACTGCATCCTTACATATACAATCTCTTCTCTATTACACTGATGAAAGGAACTTATTTCTCATCCAAAGTTTCCCTGGAAAGTGCCTTTAGAAGGGTTCTCCTTAATCACTGGTTTTCCTGTAATCCACAGGATCAATCTTCAGCCTCATCATGAAATTCTCTATCATGAGGAAAATGTCAATTAAAGATAGTATTTTTCTATCAACTGTGTACGAAGTGTATTTCAGAGATGCTAAAATTTTAAAATTGTGAATCTTGTAAGTTCAACAGCAAGAATTTTACGAGGAACATCCAAGACCAGCCAACCATCGTTTTTATTTAACAAGATGAAGAATATTCCCTGTAAGTCAGAAAATATGTTGAATAATATTATACCTCAGAAAATTCAGGCTTGGTCCCAGTTTTACTTTAAATCAACAGAACTGAATGATTTTGCATAAGTAACCATCATTAAGGCTAATTATGGATCATATACCTTACAGAATTGTTTTAAGAAATACACGAGCATTACTACATTATGTACACCATGAAAATGTAAAGCACAACTGTGATGTCACCTTTCTATTAATGCCATACCTGATTAATGTAATATGTTCAAGTCTTGCTAGGGTTGGTTTTAAGTATTTTTTACACAAAAACAAATGCCTAAATTATGCTACTGTTAATTCTGTTCCCAAAATTTAGTTGAAGTGATAATTTAGCCAGTAAATAAAATGACTTTAACTGTTAAACTTAACAGAAAATAGAGAGAACCAAAGTATATTACAGATAATTATAGATTTCACAGGTTTCAATTATATAGTAGGAAATACTTCAATTATGGAAACTAAAGAGTAGAGAAGGAGGGCTAATTATCTTTCATAGTACCAATTCAAGTGCTCAGAAACTGGATTTCTTTCCTTCTGGTACTACTTTTAAAAAATTACATATAGGTCTAGCCAGTGTGGCTCAGTTGGTTAAGAATGTCATCCCATAAACTGAAAGCTAACAGGTTCAATTCCTGGTCAGGGCACATGCCTAGGTTGCAGGTTCCATCCCCAGTAGGGGTAAGGGAGAGAGGAAACCAATTGCCCTGGTTGGTATGGCTCAGTGGATTGAGTGGTGGCCTAAGAACCAAAGGGTCACAGGTTGATTCCCAATCAGGGCACATGCCTGGGTTGGGGGCCAGGTCCCCAGTAGGGGGCACTCGAGAGGCAACCACACAATGATGTTTCTCTCCCTCTCTCTTTCCTTCCCTTCTCTCTAAAAATAAATAAATAAAATCTTTAAAAAAAAAGAGGCAACCAACTGATGTTTCTTCCCCCTTCTCTAAAAAGATGAAAGAAGGAAAATTTTTCAAGAAAATTTAGTATTATATATATGTATGTACTTTAATATAGATTCTTTTTTCATTTTAACATAATATAGTTTCAGCAGTCTTTCCTACTGGAAAAAGAGGTGTTTTCTATCTTACATGTCTTGACACCTGTTTGAGAATTTAACTCTTCCTGTCAAGAAGAAACCACTCTAAGGGGACTAAATGGTAATGGAAAAAAACACAATGAAGATTAAATTTTAAAAAAAGAAGAAGAGGAAACCACTCATTTATACATCTGTAAGTAAGGGAACTTACTACCTCTGAAAATCAAAGTCAGAAATCAAGTAAATGTTTAGCCCCCACTAGTCCTCCTCCACCATCAGATGCAGCCAGTTAAGGGAACCTCTTGCAGTATGTGTGATCATTTCAAACAAATCCAAACCAAAGGGAACTGAATCCTTTGTTCCATTTAAATAGGTCCATCATCATGTGGATTATCTTGCAAAGTAAAATGACAATACTCTAAGATTACTCAGCATCATTAGACATAGAATCTAAATTAAGTGAGTTTTACATTAGGAATCAGTAATATAAATGAATTTTAAGTGACAACACTATTTGCAAATCGAGCTGTGTGAATTTGAGTATTTATTAATATATTTTCCCCACAATGATTTCCGCACTATAAATGTGCATGAATTTTAAGAAAAATATACGGTGCTTTGTATAAAAGTCTGCTCTGTTCAACAGTAAAGAAAACTATTATTTATGTCATTTGTATTATTTCTGAGCTAAAAGTGCAACTGCTATTTAATAACTGTGTCTATATTCCAAGTAAGAAATGCTTGTTTAAAAACTGCTCTGAGTAATGGGGAAAAAATTATAAAGCAAAGCACAGCGATTAATTTGATGAGGAATCCCATCACTGTAGATCAAAATCACCAACATAAATAAATAAATAAATAAATAAATAAATAAGGGGTGCAGATTTCTCCTCTAACAGCAGTGTTTAAGAAAATCGTTGTGTAATTATTTGACAGGGAATTAAAACTTTTTACCAAGCAGTTCATTTTTAAAGCATGTCAAGAATCAAATAATAGATTTAATAAATACGTACAGTCCCAGAGAGGACATCATGGGGGCAACAGTTGAGAAGGTGACTCTTGCACACTCTGTCATCACTGAATTTGATTCGTTGACGAGTAGTATCTCCTGTAATATAGGAAAATTAGTAACATTCAAGGTTAGACAACTGAAAAATGTTTATTTTCTGAAAGCCCTACTATCACTAGCTTTTAATGTGTGGCTATACACACACATTTATAAATCAGCTCAAGAGGGATTAGTTCTTTATGTGATATCTTATAGAAGAACTATTTTAGACAACATGCAGTTGCAGTAGGTGTACTGCACATGTAATTCAAATAGTCAAAGTGGGAAAGCAATGCATTCATTCTGTTAAACAAAGTAATTCAGAAAAGCATAGGACTTAAGAGCAGGAATGGACCTTAAGGATTACTGAGTCCAACTCCTTCACATTGCAGATGAGGAAACTGTGGCCTGGAGAGGTTAAGCGGCTTGCAGCAGACCCACTAGGAGAGCTCTACTGGTACACGTTCCCTACTTGACACTAAGCATTGATTTATTTATTTACATTAATTAAAAAACATAAAAAGTAATCTTGCAAACATTGCATACACACTGCGAATCCCCACTGAACCCCAGACGACATTTCTTCCACTATTTTGTTCCAGCTGAAGTGTCTCCCTTTTGCTGCTGGGAGGAGTTAGAGAGGGTAGAATAAACGTGTTTAAGAGCGTACAAACCTGGAAGAAGGACTCACACACCAGTCAAACAAAGGCACATTGCCTAAATGAAAAGTTAACTGTAATGCCTCCAAAGGTCCCACATCTCCAAGTTTTATGTAGCCTGTGCTATATATGGCCTAACTGGATACATTTAAATTCATTCTGTCTTCACATAACACAACACAATTCCTAAGCAATAGGAGCATCCAACCTGCTAATGAAGCCTATCTACTCAAAAATTTACAGATTCCAAGGGAAAAAAAAATATAATAATAAAATATAGATTATAGTTTTTTTGTTGTTGTTTGTTTTGTTTTTTGCTTAGAATCTCTTTAGGGGGAAAAAAACTCTTAACAATGTTATATAGCGTGAAAGCCCTAAAAAATGGAGGTGTTTTATTTTTGCCTTAAATTGATACCGTCATTGAATGAAAACCTACTGTGAATCACTGAAGCGAGAACTACTGGTACCAAAACAGACTGTTAATACTGCTGTCCTTCACATGATGCCTGGAGCACCAAAAACTTTCCTCTAGGAACTGATTCAATTACTTGAATTCATTTGGGTTTTCCACATGTGAATTATAAAAAAAGGTTAAAACTTTACCCCCTTTATTTTGAAGAGTTTAACTCAAAGTCAACTAAATACTATCATTTTTAGGTGGGGTAAGATTTTGTTCAAATTGTTTTAACTTGGTTAAAAAGACTTAAAGAACATTCTGATTTGTAACCAGGAAGTATATATTTTTAAGAACAGTAATTTACAGCTAAAATGGTAGCTTCAGAGGAGTTCAACAATAGGTTTTCTAGAGGCTATTTTCTAGTTTAAAGTAGGTTATTTTTGACACCACAATTTGGAATAATTCATTTATTATTAACGCCTGCTACTATAATAAAGGTTATTTTGATGATCCTCTTTTCTTTAAACACAACTGCTTTTGTTCCACATTCATTAACACATCTGAAAAGTTAGCAATAACTCACGGCTCGGCGAATGCGGGGCCTTTCTGACACTCCCTTGCAGATTGAAGTAGGCAGGCATAGATACATTGAACCTTTACAAATAAAACAAGGGGCCAGATTGTTCAGTTTGTATAGAACAGACTCTGCCAGCAATTTCAATACAGCATGTAGAAGTACATGTTGACTGTAAAGATTCTTATATATGAAAACAAAAGTGAACAAAATCAGGGTGTTTCATTTTTTTAAACATTGACTTAATTTAAGTGTGTAATCCTAAAGAAGAATTCGACTAACCATAGGTAAAAAAAAAAGTTCAAGGCTGGAGCTCTGGAAAGTGGTGTTCTCCTTGGGCCAACTGGGATTTTTAAAGATGACTTTTTATAAACATATTATTTCTTTCAGACTTCGGTGAGGGCCTTAAGTACATGTCAGAATGATACGATGATAAGCTGACACAAGAATGGCAATACTGTATTACAGGCTATTTGCTTCCTGGCTTCTAAGAAAGAAGTATTTTATTTAAAATCTGTACCCAAATTATGCCAAGAAATTTAAAGATGAAATAAATTTAAGTAGAGAAAAAAATACCTTCCATAGCTAGGAGTCTCCCTACTAGAAGTATCTAAGCTTTTCAGTAGCACAGCAGCAGAATCGTTTCAGTGCTCTATCAAACTAATGGCTCACGATTGTAAGTCAGGCCTTAGAATAAAATCAAGAATTACAGAAGTTTTACCAAACATTTCATTAAGTAGGGCAACTGTTTTTGCTTGAGAAATCACATTAAATCTAATATTAAGACATGTGCCCTGAAGACACAGCTGTCAGCTAAAATATGAACAATTCCAAATATAAATTTAGCAAACATCCCTGATGAGCTTTAAAAGAAATCAGTTTCTATAAATGTCTAAGAGTATTTAAAATGCCTTCTCACTGCACGTGATTTTTCTATACATTTGGTAACTGTAGTAAACACAATAAATGCAGCTATCAAAAATCAGCCTATACATTATAGAAACTTTTAAAACAATAAAATAATAAAACTAATAATTTGAGATATAGAAATACCCTGAGAGGAACTAGAACTGAGTATCTGTTTATAGGTATTTTTTAAGTTTTACTTAAGAGACTTTAACATTTTAAAATAATTTGGTTACATTACCATGTCTATGTAGTATTTAATAAAGTTGGGCTTATGCCATGAAAGTATAATTTAGCTAAACCGACAAAAAATTTTAAATAAAGATATCGGTAATTTTGGTTTCTGTGAACATATCTGGCCCAAACCATGTTTTTCAAAACTAGGTAAAACAGTGCCCATTAAAGAAAAAATGTGGTAGGGAGGGAGGGACTACAATCAACAGGGAACAAATAAGAACCAAATCTTATAATAGGAGGAGTTGTTTTATTCATTCAGTGTGTTTTTTATCTTTGGGTTTTCTGGGCATATGTTCATATAAAAATAACCTAAGTTAAGAAAAAACAATTGTATTGTTACACTAACATGGGATCAAAATCATAGAATCAAGCCTATTCATGAACATATTCTCTGTGGCAGATGATGGGTTACCAAGAGGCACAGAAGACAAGCTCTCTACCCTCAAGGAGCCCATGACTTTGCTAGAGAAATAGGACATTCAAGTGAAGTAGGAAGGAATACTACTACAATGTAGCATGATCCAAGTGTCAAATGGATGTTTCCAATAGTAGTACTTAGGAATTCTAAGACTATAATGACCACCAAGGACTGGCGAGGTTAAAAAAGGCTTCAATTAGAAACCAAAATTTGAAGGAAAGATAGGTCTCAGACCATAGGAACAAAAAGAAACAAGTATTCCAAACTGGAGTAGTATCTTTGACAAAGCTTACAGAGGCAGAAAGATTTGGGGAATAGTAAGTAAATCCTATTTCGCTTTGACAAATGGTTTCATGTAGTGGAATAGTAAAGTTGGGGCAAGAACATTTGGGGGGTAAAACCTGATTTCTTAAGTGATTTTTCCTTTCATGCAGATTTGTAGTGTGTAAACTAAGTGGAGAAAAAAAAAAAAAAAGAAAGAAAAAAAAAGTTAAAAAATAGCCATGGCCAGGTAGCTCAGCTGGTTAGAGCACTGTCCTGCCTGATACATCAAGTTTGTGGGTTCAATCCCTGGTCAGGGCACATACAAGAATCAACCATGAATGCATAAATAAGCGGAACAACAAATTGATACCAATTTCTTTCTTTCTCTCTCTCCCTCCCCTTCCTTTCTCTAAAAATCAATTACAATGAGACTTTTTTAAAAAGGTTTTAAAATAATGGGCAGAGATTAGGCCAAGTTATTTGCATAACAACAAAATGTCCTACCCATAAACACGTGGGTGTCTCTCTGCCCTATAACCTCTGCAATAGTTCACTAGACTTTGTATATAACTACAATGCTAAATTTTTAGAATTAGAAACTTGATTTAGAACTGTAGCAGGCATGTTCTTCATTTAAAGCAACTCACTTTAGAGTAACAACTCTCTTAACCTCTTATCTTTTTGTTCAACCCCTTCCTAGGTTTCATGAATTATAACCCGAGTTTGGGAACACTTGAGTCACAGGTATACAGTAAAAACTGGAATACATATTTTTCCTCTCGAGGTCTTTCAGCAATGTAACAGAGCCTAAGGTGGTACTGAGGCAGTTCCACTCAGGCAATATGAACACTCTAAAAAGAAGGCTCCTGTCCAAACAGTACTTCAATACTGCTATTTTCCAAATCCCCTTCAATCTATTGGGAGGGGAAAATAAGCACCACTGTAAATCCCAGCACTGCCATGTTAAGGTCCTGCCTTTTCTGAAACTGACTTAAACTGTAGTAGTGACACTTAAAACCCTCGCCTAGACGCTGTCATCATTTCACATGGTGCATGCTATTTTCCCAGTACCCACCCCCGCCCCTCCAGTGCCACCCCCCTTCTCCCTCCCATACAAACAATCATTCACATCAACTTTCACAGATTAGGTGCTATTTTAAAAACATCAAAATTTTACTTTACCCATTCTCTCCGATGCTCCCTGTATTTTTTTAAGCTGTGAGTGGATGACCATGCTATGTGATCAACAACTGTGAAGGCTAAGCAAAAGTGAACTGAGTTTAGTATTATAATTTCAAAAGAATCTTAAAGTTTGTAATATTTGACATACATAATGGTATGCAGAACCCATATTTTACTGCATATTATCAGTCATTAATGGCAAGCAATTTATAAAAACAACTAAATAGTATTTTTTTTTGTATAGAATTAGCTTAGGGAAAACAGAGAAAACCCAAAGCACACAAAGCAAACAGAAGCAACCCCTAGTTTGTAAGTGGAGGACAGCCCTGACATAGCCTCCACGTGACAACCAAAGCTCTCTCCTCAGGTATGCTAGTTAGGGGCCACCTATCACTGCTGGCTTAAGACAGGACAAGTACATTCCCTCTAAAATAAAATCCATACCCCTTCAGTGAAAAGAAAGCCAGAGAGCTAGAAAGAGAGGTATATAACTGAAAGGTTCGAGCTTCTCATTGCCCTGTGCCCTTGAGTCCTCAAATGCAGAGAAATGTTCTACCTTCTTATTACCATTTCTTACAATATAAGCTACTGAGGTCACATAATAAGGTGAGAACTATGTAAAGACCCTGACCAATTTCTAGTCTAGTAAAGGGCAGGGTACTAGTAAATCCTTATGTCTGCATGTGGAACCAAGGTAAAAGCCAGAGACTACCACTGCACGGTGACTATTACACTGGAGAACCAACTCGATCACTTTTATACCCTCCTCCAATTTTCCCACTAACTCTACCAACTTAGCCCACCTACCTTTGCTGTTCCTTCAGAATTCAGCCTAAAACTCACCTATAAGAACCCATTTGTAATTAACTTTTAAAAAAATCAGCCCATCTTCCCTTGTTAATAAATACACTCAGTTCAATTCACTGTACGTTTATACGATTCAAAGCATACAATTCATTTATAAAAGGACTCACTACCATGTCTTAACTTAAAAAGATTATCAATGCTTTGGAAACATTTAATATAACTCAATACATGTCAAACTTTTCAGGAATATATTTACTACATAAGGAAAGGAAAGAAAAAGAGTACTCTGCCAAAGATGGCACAGAAGTCATATGATATAACACGTATTATGGCCTTTTCCCTTCCAAATATAACAGCAAGTCACTTCTTCCTAACAGAACTTACAAAGCATACTGAGTAGTACCAGCTTTTCCTTTCTCCAGAAAAGGCAAAAATAAGGGAACTATACAGTTCAGAAAGGCTATCCCTCTTAATCCTTTTATGTGGTCCTACAGGTTTAAAATTACAAGCGATACAAACAGCACCCCCACCACAATCCCTATGTCAAGCCCAACATTTTAAAAATGCAATGCTCACTGCAGAAAAAATTTCCAGAACAAGTTCTGGAAAAATTACCAGAGATTAATAATGCTAAAATAATTTTTTAAATCTACCAGCCTATTTGTCTATGAAAATCCAAACAACAAAATTTAAGGAATGAGACTGGTTAACAGCCTTGGTAGGAGGAAAAAGAGCTTGGAGGGTCTTTCAGAGCTAGCAGAATGGCAATGGAAATACGAGGACAGAAATACTGAAGTAGCTATGTTCCAAGGGCTCTATCCCATAACTCGCCACAACCACATCTTCTCTCATTATACAAGCAAGCACAGAGTCTTGGCCACTGGCAGGGGTTACCACCATCACACTTCTGGAAGGATACATGCTTTAGGAAATCTATCTACACATTTATCCCCTTAGATTTAAGAAATATATTAGAAAAGCGTGAGTAAATAGTTTCCTAAAAGTTAAGTTCTAGAAGTGGATTATACAGAATGTGTTTAATGGACATATGCCATAAAGTGAGTCATTAAAAAGCTGCAGCCTGCCCTGGCCAGTGTGGCTTAGATGGTTGGAGCATTGCCCCATAACCTAAAAGTTGCAGGTTCCATTTCCAGTCAAGGCACATACCTGGGTTGTGGTCAGATCCCCAATCTGGGAGCACATAGGAGACAACCAATCAATGTTTCTCTCTCACATCACTGTTTCTCTCTCCCTTTCATTCTCTCA